TGTGTGTGTGTGTGTGTGTGTGTGTGTGTGTGTGTGTGTGTGTGTGTGTGTGTGTGTGTGTGTGTGTTTTTAGCTCATTTGCTTTCTATTTTATTGTCAGAATCCTCTCCTCTCTTATGGTTTCAGCTGTATTTCTTATCCTCCTCCTACTGCTCATTTTCTCTCCCTCGATTTCTGTGCATTTGTCCTTGTGGGATCAAGTATCTCAGCACACACAGAGCACTGTTAACAACAATGAGAGCTGGGTGAGACTCTGTGTATGTGTGTGTGTGTGTGTTTAAGTGCGGGGTGTCAGAAGAAAAGGTCTTGTGTATGAGTGCTGGGTGAGAATGAAGGTGGACAGTGAGACTGGAAACTAGTTAAAGACGAACAGGAGATGTTTCAGACCTACCTTTGCCCAAAGAATGTGTGTGAACCTCCAAGAAACTCACAAGCGATCAGACAGGTGCGCGAGTCATTTGAATGAATCGGTGTCTCTGTCCCGTTTCAGACTCCACCCATCTACATCTGCCACTGCTTCTCACAGGATTTACTGAATAAACTGTGGGAAAAGGGTTTAATTCAATATTATACGGCTCCCAAAATACTTTATTGTGATTGTCTAATGACACCATTTTGGGATTAAAATGAGAGAGACAAAGAAAAAAAACAGTCTCTGGCTTTAATCCAGAATTGATGCATGCTGAGCGTACATTAAAGTTGGCATGACATTAAAATTCACTCTTTTCCAAAATACCCTCTGTAAAAACCTTTAACTCTATAGTAATATGTGGTAATATGGTATTCCAAATGTATTGTGCAAGATTCTGGATGTGCATCTTGTTTCCTTTCCTCAAGGAAATGATGCAAAGATGAGATTTGAGGACGGAGAGATCAAAACAAGACATATTTATGAAAAAGCATATCCTTATTTCATGCATTTTGCGCTGGCTGTATCATGCACATTTCAGCTAAAGCAGTAGATCATCTGGGTATGATGCATGAATGCAGCCACACTCCTGCATTATGCAGCGTAATATCAATCCACCTTCACTGTCACAGCACGGATTGTACCAGACACACTCGCTCGCATACAGTGCAGCTTAGCTTTCCCATTGCATCAAAAAAACGTTTACGTCGCTCCCAAATGAAATGGACTGGAGATGAAAAAGGAAATCTAGATTAGGACCAGCAGCCAATCTTCATAATGAAGGCCAGCCTGATGTCAGCCACAACTCACATCCAGCCTGGGCCATTCAAACCAGTTTATCTATGAAAACACCTCACACATCATCCACTTCAGATCAGCCGGAAATAATCCTCTCAACTCAGGTTGATTTCAGCAATGGGTCTTGAAGTACCATAAAGCTATAGTGAATGGATTGAGGGCTCTTTGACACAATGGAGCAGTTCATGATCGCTATCGAGTCGGGACAGGATTTCGCTCTGCTGATAAAGAAAATTATTTTATTACCGTAACTCTGACCTTGTTTTTACTGACCTTTCTCTATGAGGATCCTCCCGATTTATCATCATCATCATCATCATCATCATCATCAAACTTTATTACAGACTCAAGGTCCAATTTTTAACATACAGTGGATGGAAAAGAATCACCCCGCTTTAAAATAATCACATTTTGTTGCTTTGCAGTCTGAAATGAAGACAGACACAGTTTTTGTTTTAGAATATTGAATGAGATGGACTTTGATATACAGTATGTTAATCTACTGAATACAGCACATCAAGATTCAGTTTCAGCCCATCATTAGTATATAACCTCATCAACAATCATCAGAGCATGCTGGTAGTGCATGGGTCAGATAAAGGTGTTCAAGGATTAAGAGTAATAAATAATACACCTCTTTTCTGAGGTACCAAACAGAAAACAGTTGGGCTGGAAAAACAGAAATGGGAGTGCACACGCGCCTGTGAGGTCACCGACAGCGAGGGCTCGTGAATATTATTTGGTTGTGCAAACTCATTTAAATAAATAAATAATCTATGTAATGTATTGCAAATGGATTTCAAATCTCTATTAGGCCAACAGGGCGCCGCAGCATAAATGGCTGCCCACTGCTCCGGGTGTGTGTTCACGGTGTGTGTGTGTTCACTGCTGTGTGTGTGCACTTAGGATGGGTTAAATGCAGAGCACTAATTCCTAGTATGGGTAACCATACTTGGCCACATGTCACGTCACTTTCACTTTTCAGTAGGCTATGCTAATTTCCTAGTCAAAACTGTTAACAATTAAAAATGCGCTTAAGTTACTGCGAGTCATGCATGTGAATCGCATTATTACGAACAAATGACAAATTATGTTAAAGACAAAAGAGAAAGAAAAAACTTTCAGAGCTTTATCAACAATATTCACTGCTTAAATCCCTGAAATGATGAGATGAACCCGTGGCCCTCATCTACTGTAAATTCATCCTAAAGCTCCCCCTACTGGGGGTAACAGAGATGAACACACAATCCACGGCAGACAACACACAAACGACAGATACAGAAAGAGCCGATTGAGACTTTTTATTCTGGGTTTCTCGGTTTAACTTTTAATACTCTGTGTTTGAAAGCGAATGAGGATAATGGAGAACCATACAGAGAGGTGATCACAATGAGGCGATCTGAAAGGTCAGTGAAATAGCCAACTTTTACCCAGAAATCACATCATGATGGATAATAATCAACAAACAACATCTGTAACTGAAATTATTTAAATATCGCCAATAGAAACTAGACCATATCGTTAAATAACGTCAAGGCCTGCCTGAGGATGAAGGTATCACCCTTACGAAAATCATCCATGGTTTTACTACATATAAAACCAAAAAAAAAACAGGGTTACTTAAACCATGGGAACCACAAATTAACCATGGTTTTGCTACACTAACCATAGTTTAACCATGGTATTTGTAGTAAAACTGTGGTTATACAAATGGTAATCAATACGCCAAAAAACCATGGTTACTACACTTTTACTGTAGTAAAACCATGTTAATTTTCGTAAGGGCAGAACCTTCTGCCTCCTTCCAAAACTTCCAGAACATTCATAAACTTCTCTTTAAAAGAACCAGATACCTCGATCTCTTTACAACACTACTCTCAAAGGAATAGTTCCTCTAAAATAAAAATTGTCATCGTTTACTCGCGTTCAAAACCAGAATGTCGATAACTATAAAAAGTCTTAATAATCGTTCTACGAGGAAGTTCCCGCCACAACTATAACGATAACTTTTTCAGAACGATTTAATCATTGACAGCCAATCAGAATCCACCCAGCGAAACCGCGCAAGGTTTTAAAGCGGCAGAAGACATAGTGGAAGCGCGCGCTTATAATAAACAGACCGTTATTGTCCGTTGATGTGGACGCGTATATAGTTATCGTTCTTGGTGTGAACAGGCCTTAGACTCATATTAGGGTCTGTTTTTCACAATATCTTAAAAACACCCAGAATATCATAGGTTTGAAACAACATGAGGGTGAGTAAATGATGACAGAACTTTATTTTTGAGTGAACCGTCCCTTTAAATTCCAGGTTTGCGAACATAACAAAACTCTTACAACACTGTCTTGTATGTACCTGGTCTTTACAGTCGGTTTTAAGGCAAACCTGGTTTTCCTCGTTCAGCTCTTTGGCTAGCAGAAACCTTTCCGGTCAGTACAACACATACACTCTGCCATTACATCTTTGAATTCATTTACTGGCTTTGGTTGATAATTTTGGCACAAACTCTCCAAATAAAATGAAAACAAATAATGAATTTGCCTCTGAACAGTGAAGACATACATCATAAGTGATATTAAGGGGTAAACATGACAACACAACATACAGATATACACAAATTCTGTGTGAAGACTATTTAGTTCTCACAGTTTCATATTAAGAAGACAATGGACAGCAGTAGTGCTTTTTGGGGTCTTAAAATAAAGGACTGAACAAAGAGGGGGGGCTCTCTCGCATATTAATATCTGTAGAATAAACGCAGCATGCATCTTCACAAGCGCTCTTTAGCATCAACAAACACAATTTTTAATATATATTTTATCATGTTGGAAGGTTTTATTTGGCACAGAGAGGGAAAATTGCATGAAACTGTTTATAACCCATTTTACTTTTACATTGTGACTGCAGCTATTTGACTTATTTCTGGCCTAAATTACATCATCTGAAAACGAAAGTTGTTTCAGAGGCGGAGCAAGTTATTATATTTCAATGAAAGATCATAAAGATATTCTTTCGCATAACATGCACTGGTGAATCGTTCACAACAAAATGTATTAGGAAAAAAAATAGGGTAGATTTAATTCCATGTTGACTTCAGACTCATCATATGAGATGCATATAGGAGGGTTTGACATCCAAATTGGACATAATTTGAGTGAC